ATTTCCTGATTTTCAAACAGTCAATACCCTCTTGTTCTGCTCAAATGACTGTCTCTTAGTCTATGTTCAGGTTCCTCAGGACCACAGTTTAGTGTTCTGGAATTCCCATCCTTTACAATGTTATCTATAGTTTGTTATGAAGCACACAGTTGAATGCTCTTGCCTAGTCTAATAAAGTACAAGTAAGCATCTTTCTGGTATTTGACAATAGGCAAAATCCACCTGTTGTCAGCAGTGATATCCCTCATTCCATGTCAGCTTTCAGGAGCTCATCTGTGGATGGGGCATGATTCCAAATGAGAAGATACTGTTGTAAACATTAATAACAGAATGTGGAATGTAATAAGTATGAATCTAAGAAAATTGGAACCAATCAAAAATGAAATGGAATGCATAAAGATAGATATCCTAGGTATTGGTGAGCCTGAATCAACTGGTGTTGGCCATTTTGAATTGAACAATTACCATGATTCTTGTTGTTAACTACCGTCAAGTTGATTCCAACCCATAGCTACCCTGTTTAGGGTTTCCAAGGAGCAGATGGTGAGCTTGAAGTTCACTGACCTTTCAGTTCAAACGACTGCAGTCTGATGCATTAGCCCACAGCACCACACCAGGAATATGGTTAAGAGTGACAAATTCAAGAGAAATGTGGTCCTATTCATTGTCAAAAAGAACATTTCAAGATCTGCAAGTACTTCTGTCTGTGGTAGAATAAATCCTATATCCCTACAAGGAATATAAGTTAATACAACTATTTTTCCATTTTCCCCCCACCCCTTAAGTTCATTGTTGAGGCCCTGAAGAATTCTACCAACTTCTTCAGCCTTAAATTGTTTAAGCATGTAATCAAGAGGCATTGATAATTACAAATGATTGGAATATAAAAATTGGAAACAAAGAGGAAGGACCAGTAGTTGGATAATATGGCCTTGGAGATAGAAATGATGCTGGAGGTTGTTTGGTAAAGCGTCTGACTCCCGCTTTCACAGTCATTGCAGTACCTTGGGCTCCGTGGATGCAGAGTTGGGCCAGGCAGGGTCGGAAGGCACTAGTTGGACTTTGTGTCTCATGGATGGAGAAAAAAAAAAACCTAAGCATGGGCAAAAAAGACCCTAAGGAGCTGAGGCAAAATGTTGTCCTATGTATTTTTTTAAGCACAAGAAAAAGCACTCAGATGCTTCAGTCACCTTCTCAGAATTTTCCAAGATGTACTCAGAGCAGTGGAAGACTATGTCTGCTAACGAGAAAGGAAAATTGAAAGACATGGCAAAGGCAGACAAGGCCCGTTATGAAACAGAAATGAAAACCTATATCCTGCCTGAAGAGGAGACAAAAAAGAAGTTCAAGGATCCCAATGCATCCAAGAGGCCTCCTTCGGCCTTCTTCTTGTTTTGTTTGGA